CTGTGGGCTTGGGAAGCTCCTCTCTGCTGACCAGGAGAGTCCAGGAGGGGCTGGTGACCCCTTGGTGGGGATTGCTGGGGTGAGGGGCACTTTTGTGAGAGGGTGGTGAAAGAAAATATTTCACAGGAATACACAGTCATCAACAAGGAAATCACGGGGAAGTCCCGCTCCATTATCAGTATCAGGTCTGGCTGCTACACAGCTCCCAGCACCTGGTAACACCACCTCGTCAAAAGATTTCACAAATGAAAAGAAAAAGAGTTATTTGGACTGGATTCTCGTAGAGATACCGAACAAAACCTGCATGTTTTGCCATGAGGAAGAACAAGCTGCAAACCTGCTATCCTCCCTGATCCTCTCCCGGCCAGGGAGCATCCAGGGCCCTTGGAAACTTGATCCCGTAAAGGTGCAAAAGCACCCTGCAAATCCTAATGCTGACCAACAGCTTGGGACAAGAAGCACGGCCCCGGGGACCATGCCAGGACCCAACCTCTGCCAGCATCGGCACAGCCCCAGCATCACGGATCTCCTTCGCTTCAGGCAGGGGATGCAGGGAGGAGGCACATGGAGGAGAGCAGCGAGCGTGAAAGGTAAGGGCAGTGCTCAGCTTCCCTGCCCCGGGGCCTGGGCAGGGGAGGAAGGGCTGGAGAGCGTCAGTGGGAGGGATGGGATGGGCAGAGGAGGAGAAAGATGTAAAGTTTGCAAAACAACCCCACCCTGAAGGGATGCCGTGTGTCGGTGAAGCTACCCTTTTTTGTCCCAGGACTTTGGAGGATTGATTTCAATTTTAAAAGTTTGCAAACCGAGGTTGAACTAAGCTTGAGGAAAAGCTTTGCCCAGGTTTTCAGCTCTCAGCATGAAAGGAGATGAGGATGGCGATGGAGACAGTCCAGACACACAATGTGCAAGCACTGGAGGGCTTGTCCATCCTCGCCAAGCACCCAGGCTGGAGGACGGAGTGAGAATCACGGCAGCTTTGAACTCTTTCATCAAGAGCTTGCTCAGAGCCCACTGCTGCACAAACTACTTTCTGCAATAGTTTCTATGCAGTTAAAGGATTCCAAATCCCCATAATTATGTTCCAATACCTTGAAAAGCTAAATGTTCTTTCCAAACACCAAAGAAAGCCTGTGTGGCTTTGCCGATGACTTTCCCTGCACAGCCTAAAGAAAACACTGAAAGGGAAAAGCTTAAACAGGAAGAAATGAACTGGCACAATTTTGTTCTGCTCCCTGCCAAACAGGGAGAAAGCCAGCGGTCTGTCGTGCATCTAATCAATGGGGTCCAAAGGCCAGAGCACCACTGCACCCTCTGCAGCCAGTCTGGGCACCAAAACACATTTGACAGCACAGGTCCCCCTGCCTCCCTCCTCAGCAAGGGGCTCCTGAGCAGCCACAGATACGAGAGCTCAAAGACTGCCGGACACTGAGGTGTTCTCCTTGTCCAGCAAGAAGAAAGGGTCTGGAAGACGGTGAGATGCCAATGCACGTTCGGAGAAACACAAGGGATAAGCAGGTCGAGCTTGAAGTACATCATGAGATCCCAATCTGCTAGATTCACTTTTTCGTTAATTTTAGCCCCCCTTCTCAAATAGCAACCACTCCGTCTCCTCCCTGCCTTGATTTTGGGGAGGGAGGGTGTTTTGCTTCCAGCCAAGTCTTGGTTAATTAACCCGTTTCCTGGTTGTGCCCCAGGGCAGCACTGGGAACCCCCCGAATGCCTGCGGGTGACGGAGGGGCAGCGGGGACCCAGCAGCGGGGACCCACGGGTCGGGCTGCCCCTGGCTTTCAAGCTGGGGATGCTGCAGCCTGGGGAGGGCAGCAGATCTCTCTGGCACTGGTACCTGACCAGAAGGGACTGGAGGAGCTCTGAGAAGAAAAGTTGAAGCCCTGAGGACTGAGAAAAGAAAAGTTGTAGGAAGCGCAGGAGGCTGCAAAGAGGTTAGAGAGAAACAGAAAGAGGCAGAACACGCATTAAAAAGGAAATTAAAAAAAAAAATTATAATGCACAATGCTTTAAAAGTCAACGGAGAAACACAGGGCAAAGCATGCAGAAGGTCTTGTGCAAAGGATCAGAGCTGGGACAGCTGGTGGCAGGTACA